TGTTTCTGAAAAAAAATATATTTTGTATTTATATTTTGCATTTATTGGTATATGGATGTGAGGACAATCTGGCTGCGACATCTGTCACCCCATTGATTGCCAGGGTTGATTCGGCTGATCTGGCTGGCTAGGCGGGTGTCCCCTTCCTCCCTCACCACTCCATGTGCGTCCCTCCCGAAGCTGCGCGCTCGGTGGAAGAGGAAGACCATCCCAGATAGAAAGAGTGTACCGATCTTCAGTATATGGTGGGTTTTTTCTCTTTTTTTCTTTTTATTTATTGTTTGTTTTTTGTACTACACACTGCCCAGAGTCACATTGTTTGAGTCGGGAGGCCTTATAAATCTTGAAAATGAAAATACATACATACATACATACATACATACATACATACATACATACATCTTCCTTAAACTAGGGTAGGTTTGAACAACATTCAGAACTTCACACCTGAGTTAAAAATACCCAGTAGTTTTGTTCACATAGCATTCTATGCCCAAACAAATGCCCTATTATGGCTTAAAGTAATGGTCTTCTTCATACAAGAGAATGGCTGGGTTTGTGCAGCACACTGAAGCCAAACTAACCAGACCCAACTTAGCCTAGGCAAGTATGTTGTGCATATCTAGTCACACACAGAAGCCAGCAACTGACATCCGAAGGCACTTTATCTCTGAATCTGGAGGGTTTTTTAGGCACTATAATCTTTCCTACCATGGGTATTGGTAAGATCAAAAAAGTCAGGATGGTGGATGCAACTATAAAGTCAAGATCTCATTCCTTTTTAACATGTGTTCCATGCATCACACACATGTAAAAAAGAGGGGGGCTTCAACTGCACAGTTGTGCACACTCTCCTGATTTTTGACACCCCCCCCCCCCCCGTGGATGTCCTGTTTCCAACATCTGCAAAACACAAAAGTAAAAATATTGAGCGGTGAGAAAAAATGCCAGCATCCAGAACAGAAGAATACTATTCTGTGGCTAATCAGAATGCCACAAGTAATAAGTTTTTCTTTTCTTTTTTTTTTTTAAGATCTCCAGAACACTTTGAATACATTAGATGCTAAAGCAAGGGGGGGGGGAGAAAAGGTGTGATAATTGAAGTAATAGCGGCTGTCATTAGATGAAATGTGGAACTGTGTAGCCTACAATTAGATTAGCTGCCTAGAATTACTTTTGTGACTGAGGTAGTGTATTGGTTGATCCAACACTCCTTTGCACAGGTATGTCTTTTGTGCCAGCTTCCAGACCAGGAGGTTCTGCTCCCTGTCACTCATCCCTTAGTCACTTCCCAGGTAACACTGCAATGGGTTCTATATGGGTCTGCCCTTGAAGAGCACTCAGAAACTTCAACTGGTGCAGACTGTGGTGGCACACGCAGTTTTGGGTGCTTCAACATTTGTCCTGTTATACCACTGCTGCACCAGTGGCATTGGTTGCCAGTAAGTTTTTGGGTAAAATTCCAAGTGCTGGTTATCACCTTTAAAGCCCTTCATGGTTACTTATGGTTTAAAGTCTAGGTTACTTGTAGACTGTCTATCTCCAATCTGCTTGTTTCACCAGATCTGACAGGGAGGGCATGCTTCAGGTCCCTTTTATGAAACATTGCCATTTACCAGAACCAAGGAGGCATGCCCTATGGAACAGCATGAGCCTGCCCCTCTAGACCTTCTGTAAGGCCTTTAAATTTTGGGATTTCCCCAAAATCTTAGGGGTGTGCCAAGATGTGTCAGCCCCACTAGGCAGACCAGACCAGGAAATCCACTCCACCTTAGGCTAAAGCTACTTTTGCTGAGACCGCTATAGTAACAGAATATTGCTATTCTCCTCCTCCTTCTTATACTTCAATGAATTAAGGAGGTGTCTGCCTGAGCCATTTCCAAATGTTATCTCATTTTTCTTGACTTAAAAAATGTTTCAGCTCCTTTTGTCTAAGAGATGGTTGCTGCATATTTCCATTAAGGACAACTTCCTTAGTCTCTACAGGATGTTAGGGAGCCCAATAAATTTGTGTGTTTTACAGAATTGTTATGCAGAGCCTCGGTTTTTTATTTATTTATTTATTTATTTGTTTGTTTGTTTGTTTATCCTTGTACTGTATTTTTTCATGGGTTATGGGTTTTTATTGTTTTTGTATGTATTGTTTGTTGTCCAGAGTTATGTATTTCAGATAGGCAGCAATATACATTTGGGTGGATGGATGGATGGATGGATGGATGGATGGATGGATGGATGGATGGATGGATGGATGGATGGATGGATGGATGGATGGATGGATGGATGGATGGATGGATGGATGGATGGATGGATGGATGGATGGATGGATGGATGGATGGATGGATGGATGGATGGATGGATGGATGGATGGATGGATGGATGGATGGATGGATGGATGGATGGATGGACAGACAGACAGACGGGTGGATATTAGGTTCAGCTTGATACTGGGCAGCTTTCAGATTGCATTTAGGTCTAGTGCTGCTCCTAGATCTATTGCTGGGCAAAGAAATTGTTTTGTCTTTTGTACCAGTCTTCATTCAATTTGATGAAAAAGAATTTGTTTAAGATTTTGTTTCAAATTAGGTTTTTTGGCAGGTGGGAATATTTAATGGAGTATGGTGTTCTTGCATTTACAGCTTTGGTGTATGTGTAGAATCATAAGGTAATCCTTTCAAAGACTTCCCTGATTTCCCACACTTCAATGAAATCTGAAGGAAAGCCATCACGGGGGAATGTCAGTTATCAGGCTTTTAAAGCAGTATCAAACCTGGTTAGTATTTCAGTGGGAAATGACCGGAGAATACTAAGAACATAAGCTAGATTAAGAAGTTGAAAATATATCCCAGAAGAAGGAAATGGCAAACTACTATCATTCTTTTGCCAAAACGAAACAACCCTGCATAGATGTATTCATGGAGTCACCAAAAGTCAAGGTTGACTCTACAACTACCCATAGGATTTCTGAGACAAAGAAACATATCCTAAGTGACTTCTGAAATCTGCACAAGTACAGTCCAAATTAGTCATATGCCATCTCCTCTACATATTAAATTTTAAAAGAATGATTAAATTGAAATTAAATTAAATTAAATTAAATCAAATTGTTAAAGGATTAACAATTTCAGCCAATCTTTTTCTTCTCCTCTTTTCATTTTGTTGCTTGGTATTCTGAGATATTCAAAACTCAATCATTACTTTAAGACTAAAGTTGAGAACCATGTGGAGTTAGAACAAGATTTTGAATGTGAACTTTATAACATTTCAGTGATGTGTAAAGACAAGTTTCTTATTAAGATAGCAGCTGAGATGTGAGTGAAGACTCAGTTATAATTTATCATAACTTAAAAATGTAAAAATGAACAGAATACATTCCATTTCACAATATTTTGTAATATGCATATAAATTCTAAGTCATAGATTAAGAATAGCCTCAATCCTGTTTTTAGGAAAGCTCTAAAACCTTGGCCTTTCCAGCAGGCTTGGGGGCAGGGTGATTTATGAACCCAATTAGATTTTGATATTTTGATCTTTTTGTATTTCCTTGATGTACCATTTTATTGTTTTGTCATTATAGTTGCTTTTTTATTTGTTTATGATGTGTTTTAAACTTTTTTATATGCTACCTGGAGTTACTTTTGTGATTAGTTGGCTTATAAATCCAATAAACTAGCTAGCTAACTAACTAACTAAATAAATAAATAACTTTACTTACTAACAAAAAATATATTTCTGCTTCCAATGCAATCTTGGTATATTTTTTGGCTGACATTAGAAGCAAATTCCATTAAATTAAATGTGGCTAATATTGTGTTAAGAATATATAGAACTTGGTTTACATTAAAAAAAAAAATTCCTTACTTTAGTCTGATTGACTAAACTGAAGATAGGATAAAGCATAACAAACTTTTCAGTACCAGGTTCCATCATGTGATCTCATAATGGCCAAATGCCACTCCCACTTATTTATTTTTTTTTGGACAAATTAAAATTGCCAAGATTATCAAATCTCATGAGATTTTGGTAATTTCATCCCTGAATTCTCATGCGTTCTAACCCATCATCTGTTGACTCTTGGTGTTCCATGTGATCTGCTATGAAATCTTCTGCAAAAATATTGGTTGAACTCTCTTGAGATTTTTTTTATCTCTCCAGCTATTTTAAAATTTAATTTAAAAATATTTTATTTAATTTGGGGACCTATGGACATCATTTAGCAATGAACTGAATAATCTTGTGCCTGTATTATAGATTTCTGGAATAAAACAGGTGTGATATGTTAGCATAGCCTAACTCAGTAGATTTCACAGGAGTCACTAGCATATCTAACCTAGGCACACAGAATGACCATTTTATAGAATAAACATCTGGTGGAAAAATCCATTGAGTTTTCAGAACCAGTGGCAGAGGAAGAGATGCAATCAAATGCTTTTAAAACATAGAAAATGTGTTTTCCTGTTGTTTAAATTCATGGCTCTAATCTCCATACATATTTATGAGAGTACACAGTGTATTTATGTGAGGTTGTAATTTGTTGCCATCCAGTTCAGCCACCTCTAAATAGACAATAACTTTTCAGAAAGTAAAACTCAAGAAGCAAAAGATGAAAAATATTACAGCACACCGTTCTTATACTTAGGCTGGAGTCATCTTAGCATGGACAACAACACTGGCTTTGTGGTTCCAAAATGGATACATCTAACACTTCTTTCTCTCCCTCCCTCCCTCCCCCCCCCCCTCCCCCCCTCTTCTCCTCCCCGTCTTCTTTCTC